TCACTTTCTATTCTATCTCTCATACAATACTTTATTGATTAAGAAAAACATGAAGATGAACAAAAAAAAGTCTTTACGTTTTCTGGATGATCGTTATTTGTTCGATGAATCCTATAGATGAATGTTATTCATAGTCTATTTTCTCTCTCTTTTCTTTTATTTTCAATGACCTACGTCAGAATATAGAAAGAAGACCTATCGATAATGGATATACCCATAATTGACCACCGGTAAAAATAACATGAACAAATGAAAGAAGCCTTGTAGTAATTTGTGTCTTCAACTGTTTGTATTTGAACAAGTAAGTGAATGATGCTTCTACTTAATATTATGTATTTATAGACTTAATTTTCAATTACTTTTGTTTTTCATAATTCATTTTACATAGATATATTTATATATATAATCATCAATTATATGAATGAATTTCTATTGAATGCTTTAAATACTTATGAAACATACGTGTTGAGAATCTAAAGCTTCATTATGTCGAGTACTCGAAGTTTGAAACAACCTACGTAATCAGCTAAATAGGGAAGCTCATTATCATGTTTTTGACGATCGATTTAGAGATGAATTTATTCATCTTCATAAAATAATGCAATTGTGTTTAGTCATATTCGACAAATAAATTCACTTTCTCAATTGAAAATATCAGCGTAATGTTTTCAATGCTTTACATACAAAAAAAGACATTAAAAATGTTGAAAAAAAATGATTATTATCTGTCATAAATTTTGGTTTATTTACATAAATATAAGGACAAATTAAATTTTTTTTGTAAACGTCGATAAAATAATTTTAATAGATACAAATACATTGGAAAAATATTTTTCATTTTCAATCCTTGCTGTGTTATTCATCTACATTGGAATGAACTGTTTTGAGGACCTCAAAATAAGAACAAAATTAAAAATTTATAAATACAAATCATAGTTATTGTTACTTCTACTGAAGTAAAAACTAATTGATGTTACTTCATTACCCTTGTTTTCTCTTCGCAATGATCTTGTTGATGTTATAGAACGTACTAGAAATGAACGGACATGAAGTTAATGAAGTGAATAGAGAAAGAAAAATCTGAATTAAATTTTTCGAGAAGCTTCCGCTTTTGGTTTTGAATCAAGTTGCATAACTCGAACTCTATTAAAACTTATTTTTCAAATCATTTCGAATGAAGAACCAATTGTATTTCAATCAATAACTTCTTCAATCTAAACTAAAAATTAAAAAAATAAGCATAAATTTTATGTCATTTTAAAATCTTTTCGAATTCTTTTCAATTAGCATGTTTACATAATTTAGTAATTCCAAAATATAGTTCCATTCTTCTGTCATTGTCCTTAATACTTTAAATTTCAGGACCTATAAGAGCTACCAGAATTTATTAGAGTTATGCAAACCGCCGGATTTATCTGTATTTATCTATTGATAACATATAATATATTTTAACTGTATCAAAACAGAGTCGTAGTTCTGAAGAATTAATCCTCACTCTCAGTCATATATTTATTTTTGAGTCTACTTCCTTCCGTTTGATGATAAGTTATAGAATGGATTTTATAGAAAAATGCCAAAAAATGCTGAAAAAAATAAATCTTGATAACTGTTGAAGTTTCTTGTGAAGAAACAATTTTTTTGGGTTTTTTTTTACAATTAATAACTAAGAATCGATCTTGTCTTATACAACAGTATTCGACATTCATTTATGATCACGAATCTCACTGCATTCATAAATAGAGCAATTTCACATATTGTATCATAGATAGTGTTTGAAAAGCTGTACTTTGAGCATAAACCAACCGTCGACTGTTGTTAGGCAGTGTACTTGTAAGTGAAAATTCACCTTTATATCGAGAGACATTATTTCATAGAATGTTTCACTACTCATTTTAAATTTAGAATATAGACATATGGGTGATAAAGTTAAATATTTGTTGTTCGAAATAAATGCTCACAATATCAACGTCTATAAACTGTATCCTCATCAATTTATTTATCTTAACTAGTTTGAAAATTGAGAAAGGATTCTTCTTGATTTATGCGCTATGATAAAAAATGCTCCAGTGAATTGATCGATCAATATTGACTTCATAAAGATGAATTTTATTGTCTAAAAATGTTTAATTATGAATATTTTTAATTGAATTACGGGCATGATACACTATTTGCATCGATTGATTGACGACCGATCGATTAGAATAGCAACTAAAATGTCATAAATATTGTTGCACAAAATACAAAAATTATGCTTCATATTTATTAAATTGGAGTCTAGTTTGCTATTTACTTTAACTGACTATTTGATCTCATGTCATTGAAAAGAGGCAAGTAACTTGTCAAAAAATAGGTGTTAATGCAATACCATGTCGCAATTATAGATTTTGCCATAGAACATCAACATGTGTTTATTGTTGTTTAGATCATCGATGTGAAGCTAGCACGACGAGTAGCTACCACAACGGATTTAGATAGGCTTGGAATCTGAAACGCTGGGCATTGTGGGAAAGGAAGTTGAATGAGGGTGTTTGGCAACGTGTACACAAAGACCCATATCGAGATCCCGCCCGAAAGGTCCAAGTACTCAGGATTTTAGGTTTACCTAAATCTGTCGTGGTAGCTACTCGTCGTGCTAGCTTCACATCGATTTTAGATCTTTCTTTTTGGACGAATCTTTGTTTGCAAGAATTTCAATAGAATACTTTTGTAATATTTCAACATTCAGAATAATTCAAATTCTAGCGATTTTTTTTCCTTTCAAAATCCTAACGCAGCTGTTTTGACATGCAGTGTCAATAAAAAAAATCTGTTTTCACATAAAAATCACGATACGAGTACTCATGCAATAAACGATGTATTTATCTTCCTTCTCTTTCTTTCATGTCTGGCCAATAATCAACATTTGATGGAATAAATGATGTTATGGTCTCATCAATAAAACTCTCAGTTACTAAAATTGAGTCGTGTGTTTTACAATACTAAAGATAAGTATAACAAGTTAAATAATGGATGATGACAGTCCATTACTCGATAATCACGATATAATAGAATCTTCGAATGAACGTAATAGTCATAAATCTATCGAATCACTTCGAGAATGGTTTATATGGTCTTATTTAAATATAATCTTTGGTTCAGTTATATTAGGCATCATAGCAATTGGATGTTCTTTACGTACTGATAAATTTAAAGGACGACAAGATTATGCAAAAGCAAGGAAATGGTCCTATATTACATTGATTGTTAACTGTATAGCAACGTTAATTGGTTTAACTATTTTTGGATATTTTATCTACCTATATTTTCATTAGATATCAATAGAACAAAAACAAATGGTCGAAAGAAAATCTCCTGTTGGTCTTATCTATCCAAAACAAAAATTATAAACTATAAGGATATATAACATGTAAGAGTAAATCAATGACTGGTTATTTCATTCTGTCTTTGAGACACTTGAAAATCGCTTTTGAGTTCATTTAGTAGAGACTTTACTTCTCTATAAAATATTTTTGCTTTGTTTTTCGCGTGTAGTTGTTTTTCATCGAAATAAAATTTGAAAAGATAACATCTAATCAATCCTCGATCTGCAATTTCTTATTTTTCACTTGTATCCATCGGTTTGTTCAAGTCTTCTTTCGTTATGATCGATGATAAAAGTAAAGCATGTACATGTAATATCAATAGATAGAGCATTTTGTATTCAACATTTCTACGATGTTTCAAAATTCTAAGCACTCTCATTGGGTGTATGGATGTGTGAATGCTGATAGAGTGTACCTCACACTCACTAGACCTGCATGTATACGATTTTATTGTTGTATCTCGTGAGAAACAAATATATCATAAAATTTTCTGAAGCATTTACTTTATGACATGTATACAGTTAGACGTGTACTGAATCCTAAGTGTTTTAGTTTAAACAATCAAGGCTCGAGTATGATTTACCTGCAAGCTAAAGATAATTATCTGAATAGGCAAATCGAGCTTCATCGAACTGCATAATAAATGTAATAAAAAAGATTTGCTTCTTGGCAAATAAAAATAGTATTGAGAGCTAACTAAAAATCATGTAAATACTCGTAAATTTATGCTGCAAATGGTACTTTTTTTAATAGAAGTACTCGACTAAACATATTGAGGGTTCCTATCCTCAAACACCGAAACACAATATTGTAACATTGAAAGTAATCGTTACTTAAGGGGCTCCCCTCTCCTCAGAATTGATTTACCACTTAGAACGGGTCGTTCGGATTGAAATTTTCAGAAATGAATTGTCCTAGTGAGAAACGTTGGTAATAAAAATGTCAGCCTAATATACCCTCCTAGATCGAACTTCCAGCTTGTTTTTATAGCTTCCAGGAGAATCGAAATAACTTCATTGTTATAAGAGATACAGAGCTCGGGTTGGCTTCAAATTAAAGCTACCCTCTGTGTACAACTTTTCATCGGACAGAATTTTGAAACTTCCTTCCTTCCATTCATTTTTTATTAGCATCTTAGCGAACATGATGTTCAAAATAAGCATAAAAAAGTGACTCTCTCAACAGCAAATTCCACTTTTTTTGAGTCCAGGGATCAAATATAAAAAAATCGTCCCATCAAAAGTTAGCTCTCATTCAGACCTTTAATAGAAACAAAAAACATCGTTTATATTCTGAGCCGGGTGGGAGTGATATCAATTTTTCTGCCTATGGTATATTAATCATGTGTCAGTGTAATTTTTTAAAGCACATAAAAAATGATTTATACTACCGCTGTCGGTCATATTTAAGTAAATATAATGGTTTATTCAATGCTGAAACAGATAAAAGACAATTTTTCCAAAACTGAAAAACTTAAAAAAACAGGAAAATTTCTGAAAAACCATGATGAAGGGGTCGAAATTAATTTCGAAAGTCTCTTAAAATTTGCCCCTTTTCAAAAAAGCTATTTATATATGTATATTCTGAAAGAGGAACGGTCACAGCATCTTCCTATAGTAAAAACTCAACTTCGAGTTTTTTCCGAAAAAATTGGGTTTTGGTGAGGGAGCTCTTAAAAAGGAAATTCTGCTGATAGATCTGTATTTTAAACTATTATTTCTTCAAAAATCATACTTTTTATCAAGAATAGAACTTGTGAAGACCAATTAAAAAACCTAATGGCAAATGATGAATTTTTTATTCATCTTTCTAATTTTATCTTACTACTAACTTAATATGATGTTGAAGCCTGCTGTTTTTACGATCACATAAACAGCTCATTTGCATGATTTTATGATTCCGAATTAGCATTGACGTATAAATTATAAGCTTTATATCGATCAGAGACGAACATTTCTCCTAATAGTTCGATGTAACTGAAGCTTGGCTTCATTTTAAATTATTCAACAAAATACCGTCTATTAGCTAATCATATAAAAGGTCTATACAATTCCATATCGATATAAAATAGATGTCCATGAAAAATAAGGTTTAGCAGAACATAATTTTTCACAAGATAAACGATTACATAGCTATCTCTATTAAGTCTAAATGTTTTCATTGAAGACAATATTCAACGAATCACGAACACATGCAAATCTACAATTATTGTACATGTGAATAAAGTATTCAAGAGTCAATCATATTTCAACGAAAACGCTAGGAAATGATAAGTACAACTGCGGTGATACCAGGAAGATTATTTCATAACAGCATATCGAAATCGAGCTAATCAAGTATGCAATCAGTAGAGCAGGACAATTTCTATCTGGAAACCTCATTCGCTTAGTTGAAAACTACTTCTGACCGAATCACGACGGTTATTGTGTAAATTGTCTGCATTTTACACTGTTTTTTTTAGAGTAAATAACATCTTAGAAGATAATGGGAGAGAATTGAAGGAAATTAAACATTATAAATATTTAGAGTGCATCGTGCTCTAGTTGTAAACCACTTTGTCTACCTTGGAAAGTAGTTTGGAACGAATAATCAAGGCTTGTCTCTAAAAATATGTAATGATTTTTGGTTTTTAATGTCTAATTGTAATAATTCATTTGAATTTCTTTGTTGTCCTTTTCGAAATCTAAGTCAATGAAACAGTGAATTTTTAATTTGTATTGAATATTGATTCGTTCTGAAGTCCAGCTAAATGACAAAAAAAGATAAGACGTATAAATGCTAAATGAACATGTTTTCAAAGATCATTATGAACAATTTCATCATGATTGAGAATAACAGTAGTTGATATAGGGTGTGGGCATATGGATATGAATATGATCGATTGGAATAGGTGAAGAGAAGCACTAGACGGTACCCACACCAACATCCTTACCGACACTGCTACTAAGACGCACACGCACCCCCACGTTTACACAGCCGACTACCCTCATGCATACATTTGATGTTAGCATCGATTAGGCATCTAATATAACATATTATACAAAAAGAGTTAAACATTTAGTCAAGGATCCAGCGAGTCTCAAATATAAACGTTACTTGCTGTTGACCGATAAAAATATGTCTTTTGCAAACGGTCTGCTTTTTCGCATTATTGAAAGAAATCCCAAAGATAATAACTATTTTTTTTAGTTTATTCTTTAGATTAGAGCTTATTTATAAATAAATTTGGAGAGATTTCTCAGTGCACGTCGATATATTTCCTCAAATTAGTCAAACTTGAGTTATTGCTCTTGTACATGATCTCTTTGACGCATTCCGACTAGAAGAAATCTACGAGTATTAACGTAGATGATATGGCGAACCAAACGATGACGACTACTAAGTGAAAAAGTAGTAGATAAAAAAATAAGGGTGAATTGTTCTCCGAGACCAGATACAATCTTGCACAATCATTTCTTCAATTAATCAAGTTTATTTTTCGGAAAATCAAAGGAAGATCTGAAAGAATTCAATTCGACGCTCAAGATCGTCTTCATTGAACTTGTCAATGTATATTTAGATAAGCACGGTTTGAACCCCCATAGATTTGTATATCTGATGAATTCAAGCTTTTGAACCACTTAACAGTAAACTTCTGAGACTAGTTGATATCGAAGACTCTTTTGTTAAAATTTAACTTGCAACTGACACTAGTCCACTAGATGGATAAATATTGAACATGAAGCTGGTCTGGTCAAATCTGTTCGTTGCAGAATTTATTATTATTGTATTTCACTATCCATAATTTTTCGTATACACCTAGTTGACAACATGTTATGATATATGTAGAATACTTGTGGGCCGATTCATCATTGTCTTACAGTTCAAAAATGGTCACAAACGTGTATTGAGATGAATAAAATAATTCTTTCAATGATTTTTTTTGTATGAATTCAAATATCGAAGACTCTTCTATCATCTATTAGAGTTTTAGTGTATCTAGCTAACACATAATGGAAAAATTCGAACTTTTTATCGTAAAATTATTTATGGAACACTTTATGTTTCAGTTACTTTTTAGAGGTTTCCTCAACAATAACACATTGCTTTGTTTTGTACAAGACCCAATAAATCTTTAAGATCGTTATCGTACATTTGACAACGAAATGTTTTCAACTTCATCTTATCTCGTCTGTGTTGAATCATAGACAAATTATAACTTACCAAATGAAAATATTCTTGGCATGATCCCCTTAACAAGGCAGAAAAAAATTTTCATAAATGAACTTTTTTTTTCAAAACATATTCGTTTATTCTTTCATCTTGTTTTCAAAATTTCAAAGAAACAATAAACTGAAAAGAAAAAAGAATCACACACATGCAAAAAGAAAACTTTATATACAGAAAAAATGATCATATAGTCACTTTTTTTTTCTTTGTTACAATCGGCTGGCACCTTTGGACGGCTAGCGACAAGGAAAACATTCAAAAACTCACACACACGTACATTAAAAAAAAAAACAGTTCAAACGCCTCAAACTACAAAAAGACTTAAAACACTGTACAAAGACTGAACGGAATGTAATGTATGAAGTATGCTCAAAAGAATTCTATATTTTAAGATGAAGAAAATGTTCTCACAACATCATTGTGAATTGTCATAACAATATGAAAAGGAAGTTGTAATTGTGTTAGTAAATAACGAATATTTGCTTGATGAGGATCACGTATGTACCATTCTCGTAATAATTGATAAGTACATTCTTGATTTCCTTCGGATAAAAAATATCTTTGATTTAAATCATCTATATCAATTTCAGAAAAACAAGGAAATAATTCACGACCAATGAATTTCCATAAACAACGAAGAGGTTCAGCTAAACGATGAATAAGTTTCGTATCACTTAATATCAACTAAAAATAAACAAATATATAAAAGTAGAAAAAAATAATAAATACTTCTTACATTG